GGGGGGTGTCGATTTTAAGATACGCAAATTCAGCTACGCGAATAGTGTAGCTGAATTCGACGTATCGCAGCCGACTTACCCCGCTGTAGGGACGGCGGCAAAATCGACCTCTGTGGCTTCCCGTCGACGGCGCTTACTCCCATCTCCGCTGGTGGAGTAAGAGCGTCGATTCGGGGATCAATTGTCGCGTCCCGACGGGACGCGATAAATCGATCCCCGAGAGATCGATTTCTACCCGCCGATTCAGGCTGGTAGTGTAGACCCAGCCTAAGGGTTTGCTCGGAGAATGAAAAAAGAATTTATTTGTAAATTTTAAGGCCACTATGTGAATACCCTCATCTACAGGTCAAAACCCAGAAGTGTTATCGTTATAATAGGACAGTGCCATCCTAATGTATCTGAAGAAGCAAGGAGGTATTCCCCATTCCTGACACTCACAGCATGTGAACCTCCCAAATAACTTATATGCCAGACATTGCAAGGTATTTACGCACTAGATATGGTAAACATTCATGTGCCCCTTCATGCTTTGGCCACCATTCCAGAGGACATGCTTCCATGTTGGTGAGGCTCGTTAAGAAATAATGCATTAATTAGATTTGTGACCGAACTCCTTGGGGGAGAATTGTATGTCTTCTGCTCTGTGTTTTACCTGCATTATGCCATATATTTCATGTTATAGCAGTCTCAGATGATGACACATCATGTTGTTTATTTTAAGAACACTTTCACTGCAGATTTGATGAAACGCAAAGAAGATACCAATGTGAGATTTCTAAAGACAGCTACAGCACTCAACCCAAGATTTAAGAATCTGAAGAGCCTTCTAAAATCTGAGAGGGATGGGGTTTTGAGCATGCTTTCAGAAGTCTTAAAAGAGTAACACTCCAATGCGGAAACTACAGAACCCGAACCACCAAAAATGAAAATCAACCTTCTGCTTGTGGCATCTGATTCAGATGATGAAAATGAACATGTGTTGGTCTGCACTGCTTTATCGTTATCGAGAAAAATCCATCATCAGCATGGACATGTCCTCTGGAATGGTGGTTGAAACATGAAGGGACATATGAATCTTTAGCGCATCTGGCACATAAATATCTTGCAACCCTGCCTACAACAATGCCATGTGAATGTCTGTTCTCACTTTCAGGTGACACCGTAAATAAGAAGCAGGCAGCATTATCTCCCGTAAATGTAAACAAACTCGTCTGAACGATTTGCTGAACAAGAAGTAGGACTCAGTGGACTTGCAGGCTCTAAAGTTTTACGTTGTTTTGTTTTTGAGTGCAGTTATATAACAAAAAAAGGTCTACATTTGTAAGTTGCGCTTTCACAATAAAGAGATTGCACTATGGTACTTGTATGAGGTGAATTGAAAAATACTATTTATTTTGTTTATAATTTTTACAGTGCAAATCTTTGTAATAAAAATAATGTAAAGTGAGCACTGTACACTTTGTATTCTGTGTTGTAACTGAAATCAATATATTTTAAAATATAGAAAAACATCCAAAATATTTAATAAATTTCAATTAGTATTCTATTGTTTAACAGTGTGATTAAAACTGCAATTAATCGTGATTAATTTTTTGAGTTAATTGCGCGAGTTAACTGTGATTAATCGACAGCCCTACTTTGTATATTTTGACATGTATGGATAATTTGTGTTGTAACTGTTATAAGCTTTAACTTTTTGAATCTTTGTGTCTATTGTCATTTAATAATTATTGCCTGCTGCCCAAGTTGTCTGACTCTCTCATAATTTCCTGCAACTTTGAAAATTTAAATCGATAAAAACAAAAAATGCTTAAAAACAAACTGATATTATCAATCCAAATTATAAAAAAAAATGAAAATCAAATTCTACGAAGCCTAATTATGATAGTCTTTAATTACACGATCACATACACTTTTTTCCACAGAACCCCTGCCTCCTTTAGGTCTGTGCTGTGGGCATGAGTCAGGGTTTTGTAACAAAGGAGGCTGTATGACAGTTGGCTCATTTGTCGCCGAAGTTGGAAGGTGTACAGAGAATGAGGCATGGGATTGAAGGAAGAGAAAGGAAGGTCTCTTGGTTGAGGCAGTTAAATGCTGCCCTAGAGAAATGGATTCTGTTCTTGCCTCTGCCATAGAGTTCCTATGTGATGCCGGGCAAATCACTAAACCAAATTTTCACAGGTAGCCATTGTGTGTTCCTCACTTTTCTGGGTCCCCAACCTGAGTCACCAGGGGTCAGAGCCGCAGATGTGCTGAGCACTCAGCTGCAACTTGGATCAATAGCTGTGCTTTGATAACAGCAAGTGCTATAAAAATGCTAAGTAATCTGGGCCTGGGAATCTCAAATTGGAAACCCAAATTTGCAAGAGACTTTTTGACAACTTTGGCCTTCATTCCATAGATGTAAAGTGGGGATCATACCATTTCACCTCACGGGGGTTTATGAAGAGAAATTCATTAATGTTTGTAAAAAAACTAAGATATATGATGAAAGCAGCATAGAAAAGCCCATGAGGAAATTAATAATTCTGGATTCAATGCAGGGTTTGGATGGTGTGCAGTTAATAATGACTGAAGCCCCACTCTGAAGGAGAAGGATAAAAATAAATATTAACCTACCCATCCTGTGATCACCATCCATCATGTGCTCTGAATGAGGCCGGGGGCCTGTGGAAAAAACCAGTATGCAATAATGTAATTAAAGAGTGTATCATAATGCGTATGCATGAGGACAAATTATAGGTTAATTGATTCTAAGGCTTGGAGTGACTGTTATGATTATCTGGTCTGTCCTCCTGCATAACCCAGGTCAGAGAATTTCACCCAGTGATTCCTGCATTGAATCTCTGTGCGGGTGAATCTCTAGTCAGCATGTTGGGGGCTTAGCTTCCTACATTAGATGCTGCGGATGCCCCCCTTGTAATCTGGGGGCTTGGCTTGAACAATTGCTGCTCACTTGGGTATTAACTTTTCCTTTCTAATTTTTGAATACTGATATAAATCCCGCAGACTTTGATGTTTTTTCCTCATAATGAAATATTGATCCGAAAATCCCCTCAAATTTCCCTCATTGTCTAATTATTAAATATTGATAGAAAAATCTCAAAATTCACGTTTTCCCTCTCTAATTAGTGAAGGAGATAAAATCCCCTTCATTTTTGAGGGAAACTGTTCCCCTGATTTAATTATCCCAAAATGGGGGCAGAGGGGCTTAAACTCCCTAAGGATCAACTTTTTCTGTTATCTTCGAGGCAGGGTCACAGGAAGAGAAAGGGAAAGCAGGAGTCCCTGAGGAGGGATTGGCTACCCAAGGAGTTATTCCAGAATACTTTCATATGTGGAAACTCTTATTCCAGAAAAAGAGTACCTTGATCCTGTATAGTCCAATCCATCTTTGAAAATGGCTTAAGCTAAGCAGGAACAAGGAGGCACTCTTCTCTGGCATAACAGTGTCCACATAAAGAGTTATTCTGGAATAGACTTTCAAATCACTCCCTGTCTTAATCCCAATTAACTTTCAAGTGTAGAGAAGCCCCGATGAGTCTGCCTGGCCCCAATTTAACCCATCCCAGCTGCTCCCCAGACCCCAACAACCCAACCCAGCTCCCCACTTCCACCTGCCATTCACTCACCCATCCCCCCTCGGATATCCCCTCCCAACTGCCATAGAATTCTCAGAACTTTTAAGGTCCCTTCCAGCCCTACATTTCTATGATTGTACAATGCATTCCCCAAATAAACCTTTCTCAAAGCACAGGACTCCTTGTTGCCCATATCAATGACAGGGCCAAGCCACGGTGGCAGGGGATGGGGCAGGGACTGTCTAACTATTGATTGAAATCTCCATGGGGACATGGGAGATCAGGAGGAGAGTGATTTCATCCCTTTTTCCTCTAATTATCAATGATGGTTGGAAAATCTTTATTTTCCCCTCAGATTTTGCCATTTCTCTCTAATCTTTGAATATTGATAGAAAAACCCCTCATAGACTTTAAGGCCAGAAGGGACCATTGTGATCATCTAGTCTGACTTCCTGTACATTGTAGGCCACAAACTTCCCCCAGCTGCTCCTGTAATAGAACCTTAACCTCTGGCTGAATTACTGAAGGCCTCAAATTGGGGTTTAAAGACTTCAAGTTACAGAGAATTCACCATTTACACTAGTTTAAACCAGCAAGTGACCCGTGCCCCATGCTGCAGAGGAAGGCAAAAAACAAAAACAAACCCCCAGGGTCTCCGCCAATCTGATCCGGAGGAAAATTCCTTCCCAACCCCAAATATGATGATCAGTTAGACCCTGAGCATGTGGATAAGATCCACCAAACACACACCTGGGAAAGAATTCTCCGTAATAACTTAGAGCCCTCCCATTCTGGCCATTGGGGATATTTGCTGCTAGCAGTTGCAGATTGCCTACAATGACATGTAGGCAGTCTCATCACACCAATTCCTCCTCCAATTTATCAATCTCAGTATTGAAGCCAGTTAGATTTTTTTGACCCCACTGCTCCCTCTGGAAGGCTGTTCCAGAACTTCACTCCTCTGATGGTTAGAAAGCTTCACTTAAATTCAAGCCAAAACTCGTCAATGGCCAGTTTATATCCATTTGTTCTTGTGTCCACACTGGTGCTTAACTTAAATACACTAGAACCTCAAAGTTACGAACACCAGAGTTATGAACTGACCAGTCAACCACTCAGCTCATTTGGAACTGGAAGTATGCAATCAAGCAGTAGAGACCCAAACAAGAACTAATACTGTACAATACAGTACTGTGTTAAATGTAAACTACCAAAAAAAAAAATAATTGGGAAAGTTTAAAACAAAGATTTGACAAGTAAACTCTTTCTGTGCTTGTTTCATTTAAATTAAGATGGTTAAGGCAGCATTTTTCTTCTGCATAATAAATTTTCAAAGCTGTAATAAGGCAATGTTCAGTTGTAGACTTTTGAAAAAACAACCATAATGTTTTGTTCAGAGTTACGAACATTTCTGTTCCCGAGGTGTTCGTAACCTTGAGATTCTACTGTAACTTCTCTCTCTCCCTGGTATTTATTCCTCTGATGTATTTATAGAAAGCAATCATATCTCCCCCTCAGCCTTCTTTTAGTTAGGTTAAACTCTTTGAGTCTCCTCTCATAAGATAGATTTTCCATTCCTTGGATCATCCTAGTAGCCATTCTCTGCACCTGTTCCAGTTTGAATTCATCTTTCTTAAACATGAGAGACCAGAACTGCACACAGTATTCCAGATAATGTCTCACCAGTGCCTGGTATGATGATACTTCCTTGTCTCTACTGCAAATACCTCGCCTGATGCATTCTAGCACCTCATTAGCTTTTTCATGGCCACATCACATTGGTGCCTCATAGTCATCATGTGATCAACCAACACAACTAGGTCTTTCTCCTCTTCTGTCACTTCCAGCTGATATGTTTCCAGTTTATAGTAAAAATTCTTGTTGTTAGTCCCTAAATGCATGACTTTGTACTATTAAATTCCATCCCATTTCTTTTACTCCCATTTTCAAGATCATCCAGATCTTCTTGTACGATATTCTGGTTCTCCTCCTCATTGGTAATACCTCTCAATTTTGAGTCATCTGCAAATTTTATTAGCTCACTCCCAATTTTTGTGTCAAGGTCAGTAATAAAAATGTTAAATAAGATTGGTCCCCCAAGACCAATCCCATAGGAACTCCATTAGTAACCTCGCTCCAGCGTCCCAGTTCACCTTTCAGTATGACCCACTGTCGTCTCCCCTTTAAGCTATTCCTTATCCACCTTTCAGTTCTCATAGTAATCCCCATCTTCTCCAATTTAACTAATAATTTCCCATGTGGAACTATACCAACGCCTTACTGAAATCCAGGTAGATTAAATCTATTGCATCTCCTTTGTCTAAAAAAATCAGTTATCTTCTCAAAGAAAGAGATCAGGTCAGACTGGCATGATCTACCCTTTGAAAACCATGTTGTGGTTTATCCCAACTACCTTTAAGCTCTATGTGTTTAACTACTTTCTCTTTCAAAATTTGTTCCAAGACCTTGCATACAACTGAGGTCAAACTAACAGGCCTGTTGTTTCCCGCATCACCTTTTTTTCCCTTTCTTAAAAATAGATACTATATTTGCAAGTCTCCAGTCATAGGGTACCACCCCCGTGTTTATAGGTTCATTACAAATCCTTGCTATTGGGCTTGTAATTTCATGTGTCAGTTCCTTTAATATTCTTGGATGGCAATTATACGGGCCCCTTGATTTAGTCCCATTAAGCTGTTTGAGTCTGATTTCCACCTCGGATGTGATAATTTTACTTCTATATCCTTATTCCATTAGCAATCCTGTCACTACCCCCAAGCTCTTCATTAGCCTCATTAAAACCTGAGGCAAAGCATTTGTTTGGGTTGTTGGGCCATGCCTAGATTATCCTTAATTTCCACCCATCCTTAGTGTTCAGCCCTCCCACATCTTCTTTCCTTGTTTTCTTTTTCTTTTTATGGCTATAGAACCTTTTTACTATTGGTTTTAATTCCATTTGCAAGGTCCAGCTCTGATTGGCTTTCAGCAGTTCTCACTTTATCCCTACACTTTCTGACCTCCCAGAGGTAGCTTTCTTTGCTGGTCAATCCCATCTTCCATTTCTTGTAGGCTTTCTGCTTTCTCTTAATCACCTGCTTGAGATGCTTGCTCATCCAGGTTGGTCTGCAACCTTTCCCTATGAAATTTTCCCCCTTGCTTGGGGTGCCAGCTTCAGATACTTTACGTGAAAGTTGCAGAAATTAATTCTAAGCCTTCTCCACATTCAGATCCTTGAGTTCTTCAGCCCAGCCCACTTCCCTAACTAATTAGCTTAATTTTTAAGGGTTGCCCTTTTGAAATCAAGGACCCTACTTGCAGTTCTATTTTTGTTTATCCTTCCTTTTAGTTTAAACTGAATTAGCTCATGATCACTCAAACCCAGGTTGCCCTCTACTACCAGTTCTTCTTTGAGGTCCTCAGTACTCACCAATACCAAATTAAAAATGGCATCACCTCTTGCGGATTCAGCAATTATTTGTCGAAAAAAATGGTCAGTTATCACAGCCAGGAAAACCTGGGCCCTACTATTATTAGTAGCACTTGTCCTTCAATCTAGTTTTGGGAAGTTAAAGTCTCCCATAATCACACAATGCCCAGTAGTGTTTATTTAATTAAAACCATTAAGGAGGTCTCTCTCTATATCTGAATCAGATCCTGGGGTCTGTAACACACCCCAAGTACGATCTCAGGGGAACCTCTAGTAGCTTTCTTCCCCAAAGTGATTTTGGCCCAAACTAACTTTCTTATCCATTCCATCACTTCTAATTTCTTTACAGTCTACCTCATTGTTAGCATACAATGCTACTCCACCACCTTTGCCTTCATTTCTGTCTTTCCTGAACAGCACATACTCTTCAATCCCTGTACTCCAGTCATGACTACTAGTCCATCATGTTTCTGTTATCCCTATAATATCCGGTTTCACTTCCTGCACCAGTAACTCTAGTTCCTCCATTTTGTTACCCAGGCTTCTTGCATTGGCATACAAACCTCTTGACTGTTGTTGCTGCTGCTCCCTCATTGCTGCCCTCTCCCAACTGTCACGGAACTTTCTGGCCTCATCTCCCAACTGCCGAACAACGGCCCTTTACATGCTGCTGTCCCCTCCCAACTGTTTTCCTACTCCATCCTCCCTACCCTTCTCCTGTCAAAGCCATATTGCCCAGTGCTCCTGGCTGCCTGTGCAAATGTTTGATTGGGAGCAAATCCTCACTTTCTCTAATTATCAAACTGATGTAAAGTCTCCTCATATTTTACAACTTTTCTATATCCCCCTTTTTAACTTCTGGTTTTAGAGGGAAACAATTGCCCTTAGTTGACAAATCTTTTAGCCTGCCAAGGTCTAAATATAAGACACACTATGTGACAAAGGCCGAAAAGCATTAATAGAAATATACTATTAATTTAAATTAATAAGTTATTAATATAAATCCCCTGGGATTTTACCCTCTCTCTCCCCCCCATCTAATTATCCAATATTGATGGAAAAATCTCAATTTTCTCCTCAGGTTTTGCCATTTTTGTCTAATTCTCGAATATTGGTAGAAAATCCCAATGTGCTTTTCTCTAAGTAATTACCAAACATTAATCAAATCCCTCAGATCCCCCCAATGATTAAATATCAATATAAAGTCCCCTCAGATTGTGCCCCTTCACTCTACATATCAATCAGTTATGTGACATCTCCTCAGACTGCCATTTTCTGTTTAATTATCCAATATTCATATTTGATATGAATAGCAAAGCACCTTCAGATTTGGGGGCTTCCCACACTTTTAAAGTGTCATAAATTCTCCTTATTTTGGAGGGGAAATGTTGCCTTGAGTCATTACCTCAGTTCTCCTTAGCTACCTGCTTCCGCAGATTGGTGGAGTCCCTTGACACCCTTGAACAGGCAACCTTAATTTCAGCATTTCCTAACTTTTGCTGCTGGACTTTGTAATTTTAATGTTCTTTTAATATAGTTTTTTTATATTGTTGATTCATACATAATGTATTAAGAGCCATTAAGCACAAATATTGTAACAGTGATATAGCCTAAACTGACCTATACCAAAATTCTGTACACTTATGCTAAGTATCCCTAAGATCTTGCATTAGCTGAAGTAACCTTGGCTTGAGTAGATAGAAAAACTGTCAGTATCCAGACAGATGATTACATCTTCATGACCGTAGGAAAGGAGTTATATACAAACCTAGGAGGTGCTTTCAAGTCACTTAGTACTTGGAATACACGTGCTCAAAACAAAAATAATGGTGCATCATGACCTGAAAGACATGGGTTCGGAACAAAAGATAAAGGGGTAAACCTGGTATCAAAACCAAACAAGGTAGAAAGCTGATTAATTAGATCCAGTTTCGAATGACCTATGCGGTGCTTTTTACTGGTAAAAAAGTAGGGTACAAAAGAATGGCTTTAGGGGTGTAACTCTGGGGAGGACACCTGCATGAGATTAATGAACATCGCTGAATGGGACTGATCTTCAGAAACTGGTAGCACGTAGAACCTTTTCCCTGTACCACATTGATAAACCAGTCTGACATGGATTATTTGGTCTCAGGCGTATATTTCATAACACAGTAACAAGCCAAAGTATGGTCAAGCAATTGACTATACAATTTATCAACAATGCAATAAAAAAAACAGATCGAGCTTCTTGAACCTCCCATTGTAAGGCATTTTCCAGACCTCCAATAATTCTTACAATCTTGTATTCCTTTTCTTACATTTGTTCTTGTTGTTCTTTTCGGAATCCTTTCCAGTTTGTCAAAGTCCTGTATAAAGTGTGGACACCAGAACTGACACACAGTATCCAGTAATGGTCTCAGTAATGCCATACACAGAAGCAACATCCCTTTCCTGATCCTACTTCAAATTCTCCTGCTTATACATATGAAGGTCACGTTCACCCTCCTAGCTACACTATTGCACTGGGAGCTCATGTTCATTTATTTACCTATCGTGACCCCTAAGTCCTTTTCAGTGTTGCTGCATTCCAGGATACTATCCCCATCCAGTAAATGTAACCTACATTTTCCGTTCCTAGATGTGTGATCATGTATTTGGCTGTATATACATGCATGGTGTTCAAATAAGCCAATCCAGATTGCTCTGTATAAATGGCTTGTCCCCATTGTTATTTACCTCTGCACCTAATTTTAGTGTCATCTGCAAATTTTACTACCAATGATTTTGTATTTCTTTCCAGATCACTGATAAAAATACTGAATAGCATTAGGCCAAGAACAGATCTCTGCAGGATCCCACCAAAAAAAACCAAACACCCACATGCACATGAGGAATCCTAATTTACAATTACTTTCTGACATCTAACAACTAGCCAGTTTTCACTCCATTTAATATGGGTGCCCTGATTTTGTATGGTGCTAATTGTTTAATCAGAATGCCGTGCGGTGCTAAATCAAATGCCTTACAGAAGTCTCAGTACATCATGTCAAGAGAGTTACCTTTATCAACCAAACTTGTGATCTCATCAAAAAGTGACATCAGGTTTATTTGACAAGACCTATTTTCCACAAAACCAAACTGACTCACTGGCATTAATTATGCTACCATCCTTTAATTCTTTATTGACTGCATCCCATAGCAGCTGCTCTGTGATCTTCCCCAGTACTGATGTCAGGCTAACTGACCTAGAGATACTCAGGTTTAGACTTTTAAATACTGGTTTGACACTGGGGAGTTCCAGAGGACTGGAAAAAAGCTCAGTGTTCCAGGATTTCTTAAAAATCACAATTATTCTCACAAATCTCAAGAGGAGTGAGGAACAGGGGAGAGGGGGCAGAGATGAATGGCAGGGGATATGGGCTTGGGAAAGGGAGAAAATGAAGGAGGAGCCGGGAGAGTGGGAGCGAAGCAGGAGCAAATGAGATGCAGAGGACTGGAGCACTGAGCTTGATTAATGTGTGTGTGACTTTCCAGGGACTTCCATATTATATTCAAAACCCCCATGTAAACACACTGTTAAGGTTGCAAAGATGAACACTCAAAGGTTGGGAATGCCAGAATTAATCTTGCCCAGGCAATCTTATTTCAGCTTCCTTGTGCATATGCATTTTTATAGTCTTTAATTCTATGATCACAAACTGTTTTTTCCTCATTCAGAGCACAGGATGGACTGTGTTCATTGAATGGTAGCTATTCAATAACTCTTTTTATCCTCCACATTGAGCGTGTGGTCGCATGCGTTATTGACTGCACACCATTCAAACCATGCACTGAATACAGAATTACTGATTCCTCCTGGGCTTTTCAATGCTGCTGTCATCGTAGTATCTCAGTTCTTTACCAGCGTTAATGAATTTATCTTCACAACAACCCTGTGGGATATGGAGTTATTATCCCATTTATGCACGGGGAACTGAAACACAGAGATGAAAGCCAAAATTGTCAAAAATGTCTTCTAATTTTGCATGCCCAGTCCGAGGTGCCGAAAACCTGATTTTTCAGAGTACTTAGTATTACATAGCACCATATCTGTTCAAAGCACAGCGCCCTTTGACCTCAGTCACATTTGTGGGTGCTCAGCATTTCTGCAAATCAGACTCCAGGCTCTCAATTGGGCACCCAGAAAATGAGGAACACCCAGAGTACGTCTACACTGCAATGTAATCCCAAGGCGAGAGGGACTCGAGTCAGTTGACCCGTGTTAGGGAAGCCTGTGAAAAGTTCGATGTAAGTGGCTTGCCCAACATCATAGAGAACTGCATGGTAGAGGCAGGAATATAATCCAATTCCCACACAGTTGTCAGAGAAAACTCCCCATATAGAATCAGAGAAATATAGGGCTGAAAGGGACCTCAAGAGGCCATCTAGTTCATCCCCATGCACGGAGACAGGATTAAGGATCCTAAATGATTCCTGACACGTCTTTATCTAACTTGTTCTTAAAAACTTCCAGATATCTTTGCCCCAGCTGGCATCTAACAACATATGAAATGCTGCTGGTCAAAGATCTGGGGAGGGGTATATGTGGAAAATGTGGAAAGAAAATTAACAGTTTCAGTTTCATTCAAAACTTTTCACTTTCCCCTTCATTTTTTAAGAAAAAAAATCACAGTGAAATTATTCAATTAGAAATATTTTGTTTATATTTTTTTCATTAAAAAATTTGGACAGAAAAAGGAAAAAAATCTGTTTTGAAAACTTTATTTCTATAAATTTCAGTTTGTATTTTGAGTATCCCCTGTATTTCTCTCCAACACTGGAAGTGGCAGGGGGGTTTCATATTCCATCGCTCCCCACCCCCAAGCAAGCCAGTACTCCCCAGTCCCCCAAAATGTTCAGCCCTGGGTGCTCACCTCTCTGCTGCCCCCTCAGCCCCCCTCCAAGCCTTCCCCATACCTGACTTATTATCCATTTCCTGGAGGATCGGGGGCTCCTCTTTGGGGACACAGAGTGGTTCATACGGGTGTCCTGGGGTCTCAACTCGTCCCACCTCCTCCTGGGATACACATTCGTGATGGGGCTGCAACTGCTCTAGCTGGGAGCCGGGAGCATCCCATAATGCCTCAGGGGAAGCCATCTTCTCCGAAGTCACTTCCTCAACCTTCACGCGCACCGTGACCTGAGGATGAGCCAAACACATCACAGTGTAGCTGGTCCCCGGAACCCACAGGGGAGAATGGAGTCTGAGAGGGGAGACGTCAGGGAACGTCCTCAGGAAACACAGAAATGGTGGAAGGGACCACAGACCCAAGCTAGATTTCCAGGCTCAGCAGCGGGTACTGTGGAGGGCAAGTAACAAAACAGAGACCCTTACAGTAACACAGGAGCATAAGAAAGAGGATGCCCCTTGAACACACTCTGTGCAGGGCCCGAGGCACCATGTCAAATAGCTAATTAATAATAAGAATAGTAATAAACTAAATGAAGTGACACCCACACAACCAGGTTCTGCCAGGTCAAACAAACAGATTGTCAGAGACTTGTGCAATTAGGCGCCCAGGAACTGCCAGACTGGATCAGACCAGTGGTCCATCTAGCCCTGTATCTCATCTCTGACAGTAGCCAGTACCAGACGCTTGAGAAAAAAGTGTAAGGACCCCAACACTATGGGAAAATCTTCTCCCCAGGAAAGATCCCTCCTGAGCCCCAGTATCTAGAGGTCAACTGAGGTAGATGAAGTTGGATATATACTACAGGTTGTATCTTGCTGGTCCGGCACCCTTGGGACCTGACCAGTCCCGAACCAGGGAATTTGCCGGACCAGGGGAGGTCAGGTCAATGCCGGCCCCTCTGCTGCTGCTGGCCGCGGGTCTGTGCTCCGGCGGCAGCAGAGGGGCTGGCATTGATGGAGTGGAGACAGGGTGGCGCTCGGGGGGAGAACCGGGGCAGCTGCAGAGCTCTTTGGCTGGGGGCTCAGAGTGGAGCCCCGCAGCCGACAATGGAGCCCAGGGGCCAGGAGCGCTCTTAGCCCCCAGCCACCAGGCTGCGCTCCTGCCCCCGGCCACGGGGCTCTGCAGCTGCTCCGCTTCGTCCCCTGAGCGCCACCCTTTCCCTGCTCCTCTTCCTCCCTCCTTGAGCTTGAATGCCGCAAATCAGCTGTTCGCGGTGCTTCAGAAGCTCTGGGAGGGCAGGGGAGGAGTTTCTAAGCCCGGGGCCACTGGCTTTTCCCCCATGAGTACTCCAGCCCCGGAGCACCCCTGGGGTCACAGTGGATGCTGGACCACAGATGTTGCCGGACAAGGGAAGTCCAAATTAAAGAGGTACAACCTGTAGTAGAATCCTGGAAAGTCTTTCGATCCCTAAATATATCCAATCCATTTGTTGTACCCTGCTCCATTCTAGGCCTGAAATGGCATATGGTGTTGGGTGGAAACGGACTTGAAGTTTTACATTTTGCTTTATGCCTAGTGGCTTGCCATCCCCTTATTCGTGTAATAGGAGACGGGGCGAATAAAAGATCCCAGTTCAATGCCTCTATGATATCCCTTCTTATTCTTCTCCTTTCAAAGGTATCCTGATCCCTTTCTTCCTCTAGCTCTGATCGTGAACCAAAGAGAGTTTTGCAGCCCTGATTCCCTTCAGTACCAGCTCCTACATCCAGCCATCACTCCCCGCCTAACAGGAACAGCCTTTGCTCTCTGCTTGCTCTAGGGAGGAGGACTGGATGCTGAGTTTACAGCACAGTAATCTGGTCTGTGACCATCCAGTCCCATCTGGAGCCTGTCTATATATTTGGCATCTTCTTCCCTTCCTACCCAGTCTCCACTGGGATTATCAAGTTAAAATATTCTTACCTGCTGCTCCCATAATCCAGCCTCTGGCTGCCCCAGTTGGAACCCCTCTGCCAGGGCCACCGCTTGGGCGCAGTTCTCTGGGCCACGTTCCCAGACCCAGTTCTGCATTTCCTCTGGCAGGATGGTCAGGAACTGCTCCAGGATCAGCAGCTCCAGGATCTGCTCCTTGGTGCGGCTCTGCGGCTCCAGCCAGCGATGGCAGAGCTCCTGGAGGCGGCTGTAAGCCTCCCGGGGCCCCTCGGCCTCCTGGTAGCGGAATTGCCTGAAGCATCGACGCCGCATCTCCAGGCGGGTGTCCTCCCCTTGCAGGATGGCAGCTTTCACCTTCCCATAGTCTCTGCTGTCTCTAGCCTCCAGGCTGCTGTAGGCCTGTCGGGCTTTTCCGCTGAGTGCCGGCACGAGTCGCGTTACCCACTCTCCTCTCGGCCACTGGCAGGCATTAGCCACATGCTCGAAGTTGGCCAGATAGGCCTCAATATCGTCCCCTGGTGCCAGCTCAGGCAGCTGTAGCGTCACCGGGGCCGGCACAACTTCAGGAGGGGTCCATAGGGCCTGCAGCACCTCCTGCCACTGGACTTCCCAGCGCTGGGGCGGCTCGTCCTGCCTCTGAAGCCTGGACTGTTGCGGAGCCGCCCATCTCAGTAATTCCCCGATGGTCCCAGAACAGACAACAAAGGGAAGGTTCTCTCCTTGCTCCACTCCCTGCCCTGGCTCGGGGCCTGGTGGATCTTGTTCCTCCCTTTTTACTGGGGGCTGCACCCCCTGCTCTAAAGGCAACTGTAACTGGAGACCCAAATCTGCACTTGTACGTAGTTCTGTGGCCATGGTCTGTCTCAGGAGCAGCTGCACTCTCAGATGCCAATCTCAATAAACATGCATGGGACCTGTCGGGAGCATCCAGCCTCCTCCTGCACAGCCTGCAGCAAAAGATCCATATGAAACACTACATGAAAAGTACGTTATTTAGGTTGCAACGCCAACCACTTGAATGTTAAGAAATTCCAAGATCTGCCCACTCAACATTAACTCTGCCCACTCGTGCATCCATCTGGTGTCCCGAGTGTGTCCTGTGGAAAAAAATAGTATGCAACTATCTAATTAAATGAATGCAGATGAATAAAGCAGGTAACTGTGAATCTGTCATTTCCTAACTTATGAGTGCTGCTTGACTTTGCTACCTAAATAATGTTCTTTTAACGGAGATTTTCGTATGGAATTTCCAAATATTTTTATTTTAATACAGACATTCCAGTACAGTACCAGCTGCTGTTGGGTCATCGCGAGCCCAGCCTTATAATGTTTGTGTTCAGCTATTATTTCGGCAAACTGCTGACGTTTTCCTGAAGAACAAAATCAAGGGAAGGGAAATGGCCATTTTTAGCAGTTTATACCTCAGCCAGACCTGAAGGGAATTTCACGGGACAAAGACGAGGCGCTTCTCCAGCCTGCTGCAGAGAGCAGGGGAATGGGAGCGTCTCAAAGAAAAAGTGGCAAGAATTATTTTGTGAGGGAAAGTGTTTGGTGACCTAACTAGAAGGGCCACTACTAGAGCCCCCCACAGTAAATGTAGTGAGGGCAAGACCCACGACTTGTACCCCCAGCTCACTGCCCCCCTCAGCACAGACAGGTCCCTCCCTGACCCCCTTGCCCATGCCCCCGCCCCCTGCCTCCAATCAGCACAGACAGGTCCCTCCCCTCCCCCCAGAGGGAGCTGCAAAGAGAAAAGCCCCCACCTGGGGGATATGTCGTGAATGGGCATGTCCCCCTGAGCATCGGGGTGACGGAGGAGTCCCTATGGAGCAGGGCAGGGGGCATCAGCCCTTCTCCCTTGTGGCTCCTGCAATGGGGACATACCTGGGGCTGGGGGCTCCTGTTCTTCCGATCCAGCGCCTCCGTCTGCCCTGTTCTCTCTGGGTATCCAGCAACTGCTGAATCCCCCTCCCCCGTGCCCGGGCTTCCCCTATGCTGGGGCGCTGGGACACTGGGAGGGGGTGTCCCTGAGTGGGGGAGCCCTAGCCGATGCTGAGGGGCTGGTCCTATCTAGGAAGTGACAACGATCCTGGAGAAGGGTTAATCCCACCTCTGCAAAACCAGGACTGGCTGGGCTCGCTGTCAGTCCGGACGAATCCCTCCCCTGCCTTGACGGCCAGCCCCTAATTGGGATTGGATCATGAGGGACTATTGAATTTCCAGTACTCCCAGCTCAGTTTTCAAGCCTTCCAACACCCCCACCCCCCCTCGGCAACAGCTGCAGCCTCTTGTGAGGAAGCCTGACAGACCATCCCCTCACACAGATACTGTAATACAGTGGTGAACATACTATAAGAACCGCCCTGGAGATATTTAAGAGTAGGTTAGATAAATGTCTATCAGGGATGGTCTAGACAGTATTTGGTCCTGCCATGCGGGCAGGGGACTGGACTCAATGACCTCTCGAGGTCCCTTCCAGTCCTAGAATCTATGAATCTGTGGAATAGAAATAGACTAGACTAGACTAGCCCATCACTGTAGTGCCACAGTACCAGTCAGGCACGGAGACATTTAACCTCAAATCCGCATGGTCTGCGCTAATTGGGGGATGCTGCACAGACACACAGTGACTGAGATCATTGTGCCAGCAGGCGCTGCACAGACATTCAGGGAGAGACAGTCCCTGTGTTGAAGTGTTTGTAAACTAAATAGACTAGAGAGGCAAAGGGTGGGAGAAAGAACATATTGCTCCCATTTTACAGATGTGTGGATTCTAAAACCAGGAGTGATCACTGGATTATCTAATCTGACCTGCCTAATCATCTAAACCACGTAATGGAGATCTCAGGCACAGAGACTGAGTGACTTCTCTAAAAAGAAGAGGAGCAGAAGAGGCAATTGGGCAGAGGGGCTTGGTGGGTAACGGTGCTAGACAGAGATCCAGGGCACCTGGCTTCTGTTTCTAGCTCTGTAACCGAGTTCCTCATTTCCTCTCTCTGTGCCTCTGTTTCCCTTCCCATTCTTTATCTATCAGGTCTGTTTAATGTGTCTGCTCTTCAGGAACGGGATATTCTTTCACAGGATGTCTGTACAACACCCGGCACAAGGAGGTGCTGATCTCGGTCACTGGGTTTCTGTGCAATGCCCAGCACAACAGGGCACCAATTTCAATCACCGTGTGTTTGTGCAGTGCCTGGCACAGGGGCCGCGAGTTATATACACTCGTGGTGCCCAGGCTCCAGCAATATTCAGGGCCCGGGGGCCCTGCTCCAGCAATGTTTGGGGCCAGGTCTCTCCCCCAGCCCCGTCTGCCGCCCCCACGTGCCTCCACCCCGAGTGTCCCCTAGCTCACACTTGCTGCCCCCGCTCACCTCCCCCAGGACATCAACTGCTGCCGCAGGGTCCTAGTGCCCCCATCCACTAATGGCAGGGTAGGCTGCCCTTACCCTGCCCTTCCGCCCTAGCCCTGAGCCTCTCCAATGCCCCAAACCCCATAACCCCATCCAGAGCCCTCATCCCCCCGCATCCTAATCCTCTGCCCCAGCCCTGAGCCCCCTCCTGCATCATGAACCCCTCATCCTCAGCCCCACAGCC